GTCAAAAGGCCCCCACCAAGGCTTTGTGGTAGTTGAGTTCAGGCCCTGTGGCATTTCCCCTACCAGTTCTGTCACCCCGTTCTCAACACCCACTACCCTGCCCCCTCCAAAGGTTTGCTGTTTTGTTAACTGGGAGGAGGGACCAGGCTGAGACATGGGTAGTGTTCAATGGGTTTTCTTTATTAGACACAGGAAAAGTTTGGCAACCACAACATTTTAAACTGAAGCAGGTCTCTTCCTCACACTGCATTCCCCTGCACCCCGGTGGATGTCCCTGGGGTTGGCAAGGGTGGGGGTGGGGGTGGTGTTGGGCTAAGAGAAGGGAAGAGGAACAGTGCCCAGGCAGCCTGGGTTGCAGGCAGCACTGCCCATGACATGTGACCAGAGGAGCCTGGGGCAAGAGACCCATGGCCTAGTGCCGGGCATGGGCACTCAAAGCCCTCTGGCTCTACTCATCCGGGAAGGACTTCAGGTCCATGCAGCTGAGGAGGCAGTCAGCCAGGGCTTCACAGATCCAGATAGCCTGCTGCTGCTGTGTGGAGCTGGGCCACCAACATCAGCAGGGGCTTGCCTTCTCCTCCATTACAATGCCACAATACCAGGCCTGGTCCATAGTTGAAGTGCTCTTTCCAGCAGTACAGCTGCCCCTCCTAGGGCTTCATGAGCCAGGGCAGGAGAGGTAGGGTGGCCATCATAGAGGACATTCCAGTTTTCGGCTACTCTATCCTTTGTCCTCTATTGATATGAAACCCAATGCCTTTATGTCCTCTATTTTTCTCTTTAAGAAAAAATAGAGGACATAAAGGCATCCGGTTTCATATCAAGAGAGGAGAGAGGACAACCGGGTGGTCCTCTATGACGGCCACCCAAAGAGGGTAGGCCAGGCCCTTGATGAGGACTGGTGGGGCGATGATGTCACCAGTGATGAAACCAGTGCCTGCTCTCCATCAGCCTGGGGACTGGGGAGTTGCACAAGACATGGGTATCCTTATCAGTTGCATGAAAGTCAGTGGCTTAGTCATACCCTGGACGTACCCTGGACACTCATGTTTTCTATGTGTTTGTATGCATGCATGCACCCCAGATGCCTAGGTTGCAGAGCCCTGGAGAGTATATAAAGAGCAGTGTGCCCAGCACAAGGGGAGATGTGCCAAAGGACAAAATGGTGCAGAGCTAGGAAGAGCTGCCCAGTGAAGCAGTTCCTGTTCCCCCTGAAGAGCTCCAGAAGACTGACCACGGTGGTGGGGGAGCAGAGGTCAGGTCCGGCTCTAGTATGCAGCGCACAGAGCGGCACATAGGGATTCAGTGCAGGCGGTGCTACACAGAGCCAGACCTTGCGAGCAAAGGGCTCAGGTCTGCACGGTCTGGCATGCAGCCAGGGTGTGGTGCAGGCGCTGCTGCATGGAGCTGGATCCTGGGAGCTGTAAGAGGCAGCAAATGTTTGCAACCCCTGGCAAGTGGCCAGGGCCTCAGTGCACAGGGACAGTGCACAGTGGAACTTAGACCCTGGGAGCCGATAGCAGCAGCTTGGGTCTCTAACCCCTGGCACAGGGCCAGAACATTGGACTGACCTCACCACAGGAAGAGTCCCATAGTGAACCGGGCCCCGGCATTGCATGAGGTGGCCCGGGCCTCCAACATCAGTGAGAGGGCAGTAGCCTCCAGGAGCATGTGGCTGCTCGGGGCACTATCAGGCAGGCAGGTGGGATGGAGCTGGAGCCTGAGGGGCTTGGCAGCAAGGAACAGTTCAGGTGGAAGAGCATTGATCCCCCTTCATGGCCCTGGAGTTGTGAGTTATTGGGCTCGGGTTTCCCACAGGGGAGGAGACCCCTTGGAAGGTGGGGTGAGGAACTGTGAAAGGCCCTTCTAAAGGATAAAGGTCCTAACCATACCCCAGAGGACAGGGAGATATTGGGAGCCGGCCCTTTTTCCCCTTTCGGGAGCTGGTCCTGGGTTCTTTTCCTCTAGAGGAGATTCTAGTAATCACAGTGATATAGATACTGTGAAGGCGGGTATGCACCTTATATTTTGTATTCAGAGCCTCATATTTTGTCATTAATAACCATTTGTTGTTTATTTGTCATGTATCTGGATGAGTATATGTATATATCTTGTTGAACCCCACCCCATTGACACCTCCCTTGGATTGCCAGTATTTATCTGGGTGTGTCTAAGTGTGTTTGTTGGTTATCTGAATTCACCTGTATTCACCTGTTCTAGATTTCTTATTTACCTGTGTGGGTTCCAGGCTCTTCAGAGCAATCCTTTAGAAGTCCATTATAGATGTATAGCAATTTATATATGTCTAAACAGCGTGTTGAATATGTGGCAAGCTTGCTACTTTTGCCTGGCAAGCCCAGCTTGGATATGAACTCTTTGGATTGGTCCAACATTTCCACCAATCAAGTAACAGCTGGGAGGGGCTTGCCCTGCCCCTGTTCAGAGTGGTGGGGGGGGAATGCGAGGAGCCCTGGACCTGATTGAAAACTGGGCTTTGCAGGTCCAGTAGACTTCAGGGGTGGGGCCTCCGGTGTAAATAAAAGCCCAGCGTGCTTAACACACTGGGCAGATGCAGCGAGGGACTCAAGAAGAGTGGAGCCAAGAAAAGCTGGGGAGCTCTCACTCAGCGGGCAATAGGCCCAAGGTTCCTGAAGTCCCCACTGGAGGAGCAGCCTTGGGAGTGGTGTGAGACTGCTCGGGATCATCACGGTGCACAGTTCAGTGCATGGAGCCCAGGCTTTGGGAGCCGCATGCAGCAGCTTGAGTCTGAAGGGCCTTGGGGGCCGCAGTGAGGTGGCTCAGGCCCCATCTCCCAGCAAGCAGCCAGGTCCCATGGTGCGCAGAGCCGAGCCACGGGAGCCAGGGAGCCGCGGAGGCTGCTTGGGTTAGCCACCTGGTGTGAAGACGGCCAGCTGGAGCCTGAAGGGCCCAGCCTGTGCTAAGAGAGTCCTCAGAGCTGAAGCCAGGGCACAGGGAAATAGTAGTGCTGTCGCGTGAGGCCCAGCAGCAGTGGTGCAGCAGCTGAGAGGAGCTGAGCCCTTGGTGCCCAGAGCGGGGCACAGGGTAGAGAGGAGCCCAGCGGCACAGGAGAGGCCTGGAGAGGTGCTCCAGCAGAGGAGACCCCATCAAGCTGCTCCCTGACCACCACCACCTGAGGGAGTGTGACTCATTGGGCACTTGGGTCCCACAGGGGAAAGACGTTTGGGGCGGGCAAACCCAGAGAAGGGGCTGGGTGAGCAGCCCCCCCGCCTAGTCAGGGCCCTAAGGGGAGGGGCCCCTAGTGCTTCCTGGACACCCCCACAAGGGACCCCATTGGAAGGAGGACTATCTCTTGCTATGGGTCAGGGACTGTATTAAGGAAAGTTATTAAGATTGTTCATGTTTGCGCCTTATATTGTGTAATTGAAACGTTGTATTGTGATGTTGTATTGTGTTGATACTGCTGACTGTGCAGTAAAAATAAAATTGTTTTATTGTGATGGGTAAATAGTGTTATTTAGGGTTTGACCTTAGTTATTGGTTAATATTCACTGTGCAAATATATGTATATGATATTTAGTTTTATGTTGATGTATATTATAACTCAATAAATTGTATACAGTTAAGAACTTTGGGCTTGGGCTAACTCTATAGAGGAAAGAGGGATCCGCTCAAAATTCTGGCATCCCTCTCACAGCACCCCTCCTGCCTACCTATCCCATCCGACTGAGAATACAAAATATATGTATATAGAGAGAGTTATTAATTGTATTCTTTCTTTTTGTATGTTGTACTTAAATTAATAAATGTTTACATAGTTAAATTTTATAACTGTCCTGTCCTGGATCTATAGGGACAGAGGGGAACTGTAAGTGGTCTGCAGTTTCACCTACAGCACACCTGTCAGCTAACAATCCCCCTTCAATCAGAGGAGGGAGATATCTGAGTATACCCAGGCTACACTAACCTTGGGCACTTAGAGTAAAGCTCAAAAGTTAGAGCACTTATCCCTCTGGCTTCTTGAATGCCTGTACTTAGGAGGATTAATTAAACTGCATTAAACCCCTGTGTAGATACTCATATTTAGAATTAAGGTGACCTTAATTTGATTTAGTTTAAATCACTTCCAACGTAAATTAAGCTAAATCAGATTAATGCCATTTTAGTTCTGATTAAAAATGTCCACACAGGATTTAATGAAATTGAACTAATCCGCTAAAAAAATTAAACAAATGTATTTTTTTCTGACTGTGCTCACAGGCAAGACCTGAATGTGCATGACTAATTCCACTCCTCATTGAGTCAGACACGAAACATCATAGTAACAGGGCAAATCTACTTTCTACAAAGTGCATACATGGAGGGGGGAGCATTAATTGGTTTGAACACAGGAATGAGAGCCAGCACCCAATATGCTCTGACATAATTCTGTCACTTTGCACTTCTAAAATACATTCTGTAGACTGAACGTAGAATGGTAAACAAAACCACATCAACACCATTTCTTGCTGAAGCAAATTTAAAATAGTATCTGTCATGATTTAATACGGAAAGTTAACTTTTCTCTTTCTTGTCGCAGAATCTAATTTGTAAACTAATTAGAATATTTTTGTAAACTAATTTGAATAATCTGAGATGGTGAAAGAACTTGGTGTTCACTAGCACAGTAAACACACTCCTTTGATGAATCACAGTACACAAATAATTCTTCAGATAGCATAGCAAGGATCTAAAGCTCAGACTTAGAAGGTCTCTGCAGATTGGGCATCATATGTATGTTTTAATATAACAACAATAATATTGTATCTGTATTGGACTGTATTTGACTGTTTTTCTGGGCCAAAAAATATCCAGAAGAAAGCACTGCAAAATTGTATAATAATGGGCCAGAAAACTGAAGCATTGCTATTGTAAAATGTGGCTTTTGGATCATGACTGTGGAACTGTGTCATAATTTTTTGTAAAGGAAGTTTTATATTAATTGTCAGTTTGATCATTGAACTCTCGTTGTTTAGGAGCTCTGCTTTGAAGTAAAGAAAAACCTGTAGAAGTCAGTTGCTGTTGATGAAGGCAGAGAGCTGGTGAACTTTTTCATGCACGCTTTTGTAACCCATTGGTGAGTATATATTACAAATCCCACAATGTATCTGATTCATAGATGTGAGTTGTCACAGCTGGAGCTGGGTTGTTGGGGGTTTTTTTGGACAAACTGTAAACTTAAGAAATGGAATTTTGTGGGGACCAAAGTTATTCAGAAATTTGGGTTGATTCAGCTAGAATTTTGGCTGAGAAAAATGTGAGGAAAAAATTGAAAAGGTCAAACACTTTTTTTGACACTTTAAAAATTTAAGACTTTGTTTCAGAAGTGCCAAAATGGTTTGTTTGAGCTCGATGTTAACAAAAAAGAAAAGATGGTGTAAGAAAGGGCCAAATAGCCCTAAAAGGAAAAAAACATATTTCATTTTAGGTTGAATAAAACTTTTAGGTAAAGTGAAAATTAAGGTTTTTGGAGGAATTTTTTTTTGTTCTACCAAAAACTGTTTTTGTTTGATAAAACCAAAGTTTTTTTCCTGACTTTTTAAATTGCCTACCAAATTTTAAACTCCATTATTCAACACACAGCCTCCAACTGCAAAAGTCCAGCTGTTTAGCTGAAACTGTAGCAGCTTATATTTTTTACTCTGAAAATCTGTACAAAGTCAATCCCCGATTGCTGAAAGACAGCTGCCATATAACTGGGGACTTGTTTGGGATTCAAATCGTGATAGATCCAAGAAGTTTGGGTTAAGCATCTTTTTAGTTGAAGATGTAACACCTTGGGCAGTGCATGTCCCACTCTCTACCTTGATCCCTAGAGGGTATGAGTTGCTGTAGATCCTAGCCCCAGGGTCCTGACTTTTTAACTCAAGTAGTAGACTTCATCAGGGCTGCCCAACTTTGGCACGGTCAGGGGTTGCACGCTGCACAGACGCCCCTCCAGGATCTTGCCTACATATGGCCTGTGCTAGCGGTATGCACTAGTGGCTAATGGCCTCACTCCATGCCATGCAGAGTGCACCACTGCTGCTTCCCCTCCACACAGAAGCAGGTGAGGCAGCTGGCAGAGCCTGTAGGCTGCCCATCAACTGCTCGTGGGTGGCCAGTAGGACAGCCCTGGCCTGTGTGTTTAGCTTTGGAGGCCCCTGGTTCAGCCAACAGGCAATCATCACACGTTTATGTAGACTCAGCATTTGGGGTCAAAGTCACAGTCTCTCCCAGGTACATTAGTATATGGAAGCCAATGACCTTCACATGAACAAAGTGAACGTGTGAGTGATAAATCACTTATGGGAAATTTGCCTTGCAAGGGATAGTTAGTAAACACTCCTCACTGTGGTTTGACTGGATAAGAGGACCATCTCTCTATTTCTCCACAGATGCCTTTGCAATTTCTTTCCTGCTGCCCTTTGTGAATGGATGCCCTCAATTGCAATTGGGGTGTGTATGGCCAATTGTTCTGGGCAGGTAGCCACTAGATATTGCTGATCTTGTTAATATATCTTGCTTATGTTATTAAAAAGAGCAAAAGCTTGCTAACTGTGCATGTAGCTAGTCTTACATACACATGTTCCTGTCACTTTAAATCCTTCTCTTCCCTTCTCCCTCATGCCCTTCCTCCCCCCAATCCCTGTCTTGCTTGTTATTTAAGTCAAGATCTGTTGGGTTTTGACTTAAATCTGGCTCTGCATTCTTTGAGGTGTATATAGAGAATGAGAATTTCTGTAGCAGCACAATAGTCCTTGTTTAGTTGGGAGGGCTGAGCGTTAGCATAATACAGAAATACAGAATAATAATTGATAATATTATGACCATAATAGCACTGATCTAAAGTAGGGTGAGACTAACAGAAGCTCTGATCCTGTTCCTGATCAAATCAGTGTTAAAATTCCCTTTGACCATAGTTGGAGTAAATCTGAGTCCATTATGGGACTGGTAATCAAACCTCAAGATTCAAGGTGTGACTCAGTTGCCTGGTACCTTCCTCACTCTAGCATACTGCTATGCACAATAAAATGGTTGAATGCTAGGGGATTTTTCACTTTCTTGTGAGTTATCATATACTGGCTAAAGCATGGGATAGGAAGTAAAGCTATATGGAACAGTAGCAGCTTTCCTGTTTATGCTAGGCCAGCCATCAGGTCTTTTATGTTTGTATGCAGTCTCTGTAGTTGAATAGTTGAAATGTCTGCGGAGAGCAAGCAGCTTTCAGTTTTAAGATTCTGCTGTACAATATAAATTAGAGTTAATTCCAGACTTACCCAGCTGCTGGTCACCTATTCAGCACAGCCCTGCATTATTTATCTAATCATAGTTGTAAAGCAGTGTACTACTGTAGTATGCTCTTTTGTGCCATGGTCTTCCCCAAAAGAGTAATACAGATCCACAGGATAATCTCCCATATCAGTTTCTAGTGCCTACATTCCCTTGCTAGCCTTCACTGCAGTGTTTTGAACCACGTAATGAAAAAGGGTGTTCACTGACATTGACACTGATACAGAGATGCATTTTCTGTCATTTACACCCACACAGCCTTTTTAATTTCCCACGATCCACCTTCTTCCACCCTCCCAAATAATAAATGATGCACCATGGACAATTTTGGCAGGTAGTCAAGAAGGAGAGCCTGGGCTGTATGCTAGAGTTGAAAATTCTTAACACTTCAGTCATTATTCCCAGGATGCCATCCATTTGGTTTATGGATCCAAATATGCAATCTCTTTGATAATTTATTTGCCAGCTGACCTATCTTAGTATCAGAGGTTTTTTTCCCCCCTGAATAAATTGTAAAGTATAATACCTAGTTTCTTTTTGTAAATTCAAAGTAGAACTATATTTCTGTGTGTTGAAAGCAATGTGCCATATCTAATGTGATTTGGGAAATCCGTATACAAGTCATTTCTCAGTTTCCTTTTGGTTGTGCTTTAGATTTTGTTATTATTATTTATTTACTGAGCACTACCAATGAGCTCAGTATTGTACAGCACAAAATAAAGGACACAAGGCTTGATTCTTGACCAGGGAAAACAAGTGTAATGCAGTGGAAAATCCAACCTGTGGTCCCTCATCCCTGAGGCTTACAATCCAGGGACCCAAACCAAAAAAGATGGTGAAAAGCTAGTGTTTAAATTAACTTCAGTGGGAGTTCCAGGTGCTCTGAACCTTGTACCTCTATAGGTACAGTGCTGCTTTTTTTTCCTTCCTGATTTCTTTTTCCCTTTCATTTTTTGCTGTAGGGCTGTTATATCTTATTAACAGTAAATTGCTTTAAGACTGCCTCTACTCCTTTGAACTCAACAGCAGAATTGCTGTTGACTTTAATAGTGCGTGAGATCAGGACATGTATAATGAAAGCTATTATTGAAACAAAATAATACACACAGAACCTGATCTCCACTCTAGCCTGTGTATGTTTGGTTGAAAAGCTAGAGTGAGACAAAGGCACTTGGAAAGACCCAGTTCTGGCTGGAGGAGAATTATCTTGGTGCAGTCATTGCAGAAAGCTCCATTGCAAAGACTCTTCCCTCTGACAAGCCATGGGGTATGGCTATGTTGTGGGTGGACAGGACACGTTAGATCTAGGAGGCAAATTCTAGGCATTGCTTGCATCCCACAAGGCTGTGGAAGGCTGTTGTAAGTCCAGCAGACTCCAGGACTGCTTTAATTATGGTCTTTTGGGGAAGAGTATGGCACAAAAGAA